TAATATAAAATTTCTTTGTCTCCATATGACTAAGTAGGACTGTCCTGTGAGTTCCTGAGAAACAAATACTACCAGGTATCCTTCTGGGTTCCAGTGAGTAAAGATTTTAAAGTTCAGAAAATAGTTTTGGGGTTTGATCCCCAGCTCCACGTGGCTCCTGAGCACTTCCCAAAAATGGAACAACACCATTTTCTAAAGCCCTTGCACTGAACCACCAGCCTGGTTAGCTAAGTACTGCCAGCTTAGTAGGCTCCCTGCTCAAAAACTTTTTAAGGTTTTACCACTTTTGCTGACACATATTTAGGCCATACACCACATTTATTGGTATCATGTACAAAGTGAGTTATGTTCTATATATATAGTTTTTGAAATTTTTTAACATTTTTTGGCCATACCCAGTGATTCTCAGGGCTTACTCCTGCCTCTGTGCTCAGGGATCACTCCTGGTGGGAATAGGGAAGGGCATGTGGTGCTCTGGGGATGGAAACCAAGTCAGGCAAGTGCAAAGCTACTGCAATACTAGGCTAACTGCTGTACTATTGCTCTGGCCCAGATTTTTTTCCTTTAAAAATATTTAATAAGAATATAACTTAGAAATACTAAATTTTCTAAAAAAAATTTATTAGTGAAACACTATGAGGTACAGTTGTAGACTTACAAACTTTTGTGCTTGGGTTTCAATTATACAATGATCAAGTACCCATCCCTTCACCAGTGCCCATTTTCCACCACCACTGATCTGAGTATCCCTCCCACCCCACTCCCTCCCCTCCCCCCCATCACCACCCGTCCCACCCTGCCTCTGTGGCAGGGCATTCCCTTTTGTTCTCTCTCCTTTTGGGTGCTGTGGTTTGCAAAAGAGGCATTGAGTGGCAATCATATTCGGTCTATAGTCTACTTTCAGCATGCATCTCTCATCCTGGGAGGATCCTCCGAACACCCTTTATTTGGTGCTCCCTTCTCTATCTGAGCTGCCTTTTCCCCTAGCATGTGTGGCTGACCTCCAAGCCATGGAGTAAACCTCCTGGTACTTATCTCGGCTATTCTTGGGTGTTAGTCTCCTATTTTGTTGCTTTATGTTCCCCAGATGAATGCAATGGCCCAGATTTTTTTTAAACCTTTTTATTTTCTTTTATTCCCCCTAAGCCCCACTTTAATTTTTTAATTTTCTAATTTTTTTTCCTTTTCCGGTCACACCCAGTGATGCCCAGGGGTTACTCTTGGCTCTGCACTCAGGAATTACTCCTGGCGGTGCTCAGGGGACCATATGGGATGCTGGGAATCAAACTCAGGTCAATCACGTGCAAGGCAAACACCCTACCCACTGTGCTATAGCTCCAGCCCCACTTTAACTTTTTTAAAGGGTTGGTTTTTGTCACTGTTTTGTTTTAATATCTCTTAGCTCATTTTTGATCTTCAAGAGCTGGAGATGCATCCGAATAGGAGGCCTGTATCACTGCAGACAGTCAGATCCCGATCACCCCTCAGTTCATTTGCCTTCTCCATGGGTCAGGAACCAGCACTGTAGAGCAGTGTCTGCGTAGAGCACACGTTTCAGATCTCCTGATGACTCACAATGAACCGTTTAACTGCTCTCTCATGTAAGGCAGAACTGTGTACATTGTTTTGCTGCTGGTCACAGGGCTGACACCTGAGAGAGCTATTGACGGGTCAGTGCAGCCCAGTCCCTTCTCAGGGAACTTGAAAGTGGAGATGGAAGGAGAAAGAGAATGAGTCTTTCCATATGGCCAGAACCATAAAAGTAAATTTGGCTGTGACTGCCAGTTTCCAGCTGCCATATGGCTTGAGTCCATGAGAAGCAGATGCAGAGATAAACAACGAAGAAAGTCCCTTGAATTCTGTTGACTTTCCTGTTTTAATTCCAGTCCTTCTGACATCTGGCTACTTAGACTTCAGCCTTTGACTTAAGATAGACTTCTACTTTTTTCCCTTTTGACCTAAAACTGTTCAAACTGAGATCTGGAGAGAGAGCTCAGTGGGCTGAGAGCCTACAAGAGACCCAGAGTTGGTCACCCGCGCCACATGGTTCACTGAGTATTATCAGATGTGGCTTAACACCCCCCTCCCAAATTGTTCAAATTGGTCTGTACTATTTGTAAAAATAAACACCCTGGTACTTGGAGTGTTAGTACCAATTGGTAAGGTGCTTATCTTGCACATGGCTAATCTGGGTTCCATTCCCCGCCTTCCAGATGGTCTCCCCTGTGCACAGAACCTGGAGTAAACCCTGAACACAGCCAGATATAACCCACAGAAAACAAAAAAACCTTTAAAAACAGGTCTTCTCCATCAATATAAACATCCTGATGAATCCCACAAAGCTCCATTGAGAGAACTGTTTTTCAGACTCATCCTGTGGTGTGCCACTGTTCCTTCCTCAGCGCTGGCCTCCTCTCATCCATCTTGTTGGGAAAGTGCTCTGTGAGGGGGCAGGGTGAGAGGGGCCACACCCACAATGCTCAGGGCTTACTCCTGGTCTGGGCTTATGGGTCATTCCTGGCAGTGCCAACAATTGAAAGGACATCTGTAGCTCCTTATCTCCTGTATTATCTCTCCAACCCCTTGCTGGACAAGTCAAATGACAAAATATTGATGAATCAGAGGGAACAGAGAGACAGCTCAATCTGCTGAGCGCATGCTGTGCATACAGAAGATGCAGATTTGGTTCTCTGCACAGCATGGTCTCCACAGCATTTCTAATGAGTCATTCCGGAACACAGCCAGGAGTAGTCCTAGTAATGCTGCTGGGTATGACCCCAAAACCAAATCTAACCAAAGAAAAATAAACCCCAGTTAGAAATTTTAAATCACCGGTTTAGGTTTTTCCTTAGTTTATCTGAATGCTGGGGTTTCCTTGGGTAATGAGAAGCACTTTTGCAGCTAGTAGGTTTGCACTTAAATATTTGTTGACTTTCCAATAAGCTAGTCTTTGACCCTCAAACTGCAATTTGTACCATACAGAACTTAATTGTCTCTATGATAACACAGGGCTTACCACATCTTTGTTTTATTTAAAGAAGGAAATCACTATTTACTTCTGATTGTATATTTTGTGTATATTTCAAGGCACAAATTCCCAAACTTAGTCATTCTTGTAATAAAACATTGTCAAACTGCAACAATGAAAAACAGTGACTCTAATCTAGAGTTCTTTTTGAGAAAGAAAATGATTTGCCAGTACTACATTTGCCAAGCATTTTAGAATCCAGTTTTTTTCCCTCAATTTTGTTCACTTTGAGGTCTAATTTTTTCCTAATGAATTTAAAATTTGTGTACAATGATAAAACAACACTGGTGGGGTTTTTTGTTGTTGTTGTTGTTTGTTTGTTTGTTTTTGTCCTTTATTTTTGGTCATACCCCGCGATATGCAGGGGTTTCTCCTGACTCTGCACTCATCAATTACTCCTGGAATTGCTCGGGGAACCATTTGGGATGTCAGGGATTGAACCCCAGTCCACCAGGTGCAAGGCAATTGCCCGACCCATTGTACTATCACTCCGGTTCTGCAACATAGTTTTTTGTTTGTTTGTTCAGTTTGATTTTTGGACCTCACCTGGCTGTGCTCAGGGTTTGTTCCTGGCTCTGTGTTCAGGGGTCACTTCTGGCAAGGCTTGGGGGACCCAGTGGGTTACTAGAGATTGAACCTTGGTCAATGTTGTACAAGGCAAGCACCTTCCCTGCTGTACTATCTCTTGGTCCCCACAACACAGATTTTTATGGAGTAAAGCCTAGAAGAATAAAAACTGTAGATTGAATAGTAATATAAATCTTAGTATAATATGAAGCCCAGCAAGCTACCGAGAGTATCTTGCCCGCACGGCAAAGCCTGGCAAGCTACTCGTGACATATTCGATATGCCAAACACAGTAACAACAAGTCTCACAATGGAGATGTTACTGGGCTTGCTCGAGCAAATCGATGAACAATGGGAGAACAGTGCTACAGTGCATAATATGAAGAAGAGGGAAAATTTTGGTACTACAGATTTTCCCTTGAGGTGCTGGATTTAAATCAGCTGAAATGTGTTTCTCTCTTTTTTTTTTTTCTTTTTGGGTCACACCTGGCGATGCACAGGGGTTACTCCTGGCTCTGCACTCAGGAATTACTCCTGGCAGTGCTCGGGGGACCATAAGGGAAGCTGGGAATTGAACCTGGATTGGCAGCATGCTAGACAAATGCCCTACCCACTGTGCTATAGCTCCAGCCCCTGAAATGTATTTCTGTACAACTTACCCTTTGATAAAAGTTTGCTTAATTAAAAAAAAATCACAGTTCAATAATTGCCCTTCCACATGGTTCATTATGTTTTTCAACACATTTCCTTTTCGGAAAGTGTATATGTGGGTGTGGTGATGAGTGAGAGGGGGGCACAGAAATTGGGAGGGACAGTTTTCTCTGTATCCTGACTTTTAAAAAATAGTTTATGATGAATATGTTTTTAAATATATTGGGACCAGGGATGGTACTCAATGTTAGAACATTTGCCTTACATCTAAGAGGTCCTGGGTTTATTTAATGAATGAAGCAAGACACATACACACACTCTCACATACACAAAACTAAAATATATATTTAATATAGGGTCTTTTTTATTTTTTGTTGCCTTCGAGTCACACCTGCTAGTGCTTAGAGCTCACTCCTGGCTCTGCAACTCAAGAATCACTCCATCATTCCTGATAGGGCTCTGGAGACCCTGTGGAGTTCTGTGGGTTGAACTCAGGCTGGCAGTGTGCAAGGCAAGCTCCCTACCCACTGTATTGTTGCTCTGGCCCTAAAATCTCACTTTTATTGGTTGAATAGTATTGAATTGGTTGAATAGTATTGCTGCTCTGTTGAATGAATATTCTGTACTTTATTTAACCACTCTCATTTTCTGTTGAACATTTTAATATATATATATTTTTAAATTACCAACATAAAACCTAAGCCAAAAAAGGATAAAAAGAGAAGGGTGGTAGGAAGCAATTTTTTTTTGAAAACCCTGTACTAAACTAAAATACGTAACCTCAGTAGGATCTGAAGTTAATTCATTTCTATCACCGCAGCTACTTTAGCAAACCTGGTTCCTCTCATAATTGCAACATCATGCAGAGTTAGTGATGAATTTGCACAAAAATGGGTTTTTTGTTTGCTTGTTTGTTTGGTTTGGTTTGGGAGCCACACCCAGCAATGCTTAGGGGTTACGTCTGGCTCTGCATTCAGGAGTTACTTCAGGCAGTGCTCAGGAGAAGAAACGGGTTGCAAAACCTGGGTCAGCAGTGTGCAAGCTAAGTGCCTTACCTGCTGTACTGTCTCTCCAGCTACTTCCTTAGCATTATTTTGCAGTAATATTACTGTTAAAAGTCTAATTTCAGACATCTTGCCAAAGAACAATCAAAAAGAGATGTAGTGGGGCTGAAGAGAGAGTATAGCAGATAAGGTGCTTGCTTTGTGCACAGCTGACTCAGGTTCAATCCCTTGCAAATCCGTATGATCCCCTGAGCACTGCCAGGAGTGATTCCTGAGTGCAGAGCCAGGAATAGTCCCTGAGTATCTCTGGGTGTGGCTCTCCAAAAGAAATGTAGTGCCCTAACACTGAATGTTATCTTTAAAAATAACTCTTACCAATTCAGTAGGCAATATTTAAAACTTTAATATTGTTTTAATTGGGATTTTTTCATTAATAATGAAATTAAAACAATATATTGTTATTAACCCTTTTTATTCCTTTTTTACTTACAGGAGTCTTTTTTTTTTAAATTTTTATTAGTGAGACACCATGAGGTACAGTTGTAGACTTACAAATTTTTGTGCTTGGGTTTCAGTTATACAATGATCAAATACCCATCCCTCCACCAGTGCCCATTTCCCACCACCATGGATCCCAGTATCCTATCCACCCCTCCAGCCCCCCCCCCTCCATCCCACCCTGCCTCTGTAGCAGGGCATTCCCTTTTGTTCTCTCTCTCCTTTTGGGTGTTGTGGTTTGCAAAAGAGGCAATGAGTGGCAATCATGTTTGGTCTATAGTCTACTTTCAGCATACTTCTCCCATCCTGGGAGGAACCTCTCAACACCCTTTATTTGGTACTCCCTTTTCTATCTGAGCAACCTTTTCCCCTAGCATGTGTGGCTGGCCTCCAAGCCATGGAGCAAAATTCCTGGTACTAATCTCGGCCATTCTTGGGTGTTAGTCTCCTATTTTGTTACTTTATGTTCCCCAGATGAATGCAATCTTTCTATGTCTATCTCTCTCTGACTCATTTCGATTAACATGATACTTTCCATGTAGTACCACTTGTCTGTAAATTTCATGACTTCATCTTTTCTAACAGCTACATAGTACTCCATTGTATAGCTGTACCAAAGTTTCTTTAGCCAGTCATCTGTTCTCGGGCACTCAGGTTTTTTCCAGATTCTGGCTATTGTAAAGAGTGCTGCAATGAACAAACAAGTGCAGATGTCACTTCGACTATACTTTTTTGCCTCTCTGGGATATATTCCCAGGAGTGGTATTGCTGGGTCAATTGGGAGCTCAATTTCTAATTTACTTACAGAAGTCTTATGCACCATTATTTTACTTTATTTTTATATTTTTCTTATTGTTTTGTGAGTGTTCTTTATATTTGTACATTATTATTAAAGTTTTGGTAACATGTTTATAATAGTGTTAACGTTTATGGTTTTGATGATTAGGTACTGCAACTCACCACTACCAGAGTGCTCAAGACTCTGAGTGTAGAGCCAGGAGTAACCCCTGAATACTGCAGTGTGGCCCAAATGCCAAAAAAAAATATGGTATTGTAACACATTGTGAAATATATGCACAAACTTATTTTTCATCATTATACAGCAGCTAGGTTATGTTTAAATATTCAACAAATTTCATCATGCATGTGAAAAATTTTCTATAATGAGTTGTCAGGGTATTTTTTTGTGTGTGGGGGGGGGATGCTAGGGAGAGAACCCAGGTCCTTGCATATGAAAGGCAAATACAAACCACTGAACCACACACACATCCCTGGCCCTTACTTTGAAAATTAATTTTTTTGGTTTTCCTTATTTTTCTTTTAAGTTTGCAAATTTTAAAGCTTAATGTACCTGTTCATAGTTTTCAAAATAAGCTTCATCAAAAATAAAGTCAAGGGGCTGGAGCGATAGCACAGCGGGTAGGGCATTTGCCTTGCACGTGGCCAACCTGGGTTCGATTCCCAGCATCCCATATGGTCCCCTGAGCACCACCAGGGTAATTCCTGAGCGCAGAGCCAGGAGTGACCCCTGTGCATTGCTGGGTGTGACCCGAAAAGCAAATAAATAAATAAATAAAAATTAAAATTAAAAATAAATAAATAAAGTCAGCCGTCGCCACACTCCAGGACGCTTTCCGGACCCGCGCGGCAGCTCCGGCCGAGACCCACGCACAACTGAAGACCCACAGAACAAGACTTCCACTCTCGACACTACTTCCACTACCCAGCCGTCGCCACACTCCAGGACGCTTTCCGGACCCGCGCGGCAGCTCCGGCCGAGACCCACGCACAACTGAAGACCCACAGAACAAGGTAAGCGGAACTCTCTGAGACCTTGGACTCCAGGCTCGGCGGACCCAGGGACAGAGCTTCTCTGCTTGCTCCCACCACCACAGGTGACAAAGGGATTCTAATTAGGAGCCCCACCCTACCCTGCCCTGTCTGCTTCCATCAACCACCCAGGGATCGAATTGTGCACAGGAGACCCAACCTACCCAGATAAATATCCCACTGGCAGACTTCCACTCTCGACACTACTTCCACTACCCAGCCGTCGCCACACTCCAGGACGCTTTCCGGACCCGCGCGGCCGCAAGCGGCCACGCGACACATCATAAGACACTAAATACCCGTCTTCTGGAATTGTCGTACCATATTTGATAGGGTTCAAATATGGTAACACCTACAAGGGTGATTAGAGGTCACCCCAAAAGCCTCTATACCTCTCGGAAAGACTGGCAAGCTACCGAGAGTATTCCGCCCGCACGGAAGAGCCTGGCAAGCTATCCGCTGTGTATTCGATATGCCAAAACCAGTAACTACAACTGGTCTCATTCACCTGACCCTGAAGGCTTCACCGACATGGCAGCACTGAGAAGGATGAGAAAGGAGAGGCCGACAAAATCTCAAGGCCGACCTAGGCTGCCACAACGAAGGAAGACAAAAATGATCGTCTGTACTTTCAATGCACGTACGCTAGCATCAGATGCATCCATCGAGGACCTGATGGTACAAGCGCGAATGATCAAGTACGACATCATTGGTCTGACCGAGACAAGAAGACACGAATCTCACCATGCCATTTTCGACACTGGAGAAGAATTGTTCCTCGGAACATGCGATAAAAGAGGTGTTGGAGGCGTCGGTGTCCTTGTCAACACAAACTTGGCCAAGAGCATTGATTCATTCGAATGCCTAACAACCCGAATCGGACGTTTACATTTGAATAGATGTGGCTCACTGCCTGCAGTTTCTATCTTCGTTGTCTACGCACCAACATCTCATTATGATGAAAGAGAAATCGAGAAGTTCTACATGGAGCTAGAGAAGTTCTATAAAGAAGACCACACCTTCTACAAGATCATTGTGGGTGATTTTAATGCCAAGATAGGACCGAGAAGATCAGCTGAAGAACTTCACATCGGGACCCATGGCCTAGAATGGAACGAACAGGGTGAGAGACTGTCTGAGTTCATCATGTCGACCAAGACCATTCATGGTAACTCACAGTTCCAGAAGGCAGAATCTAAACGATGGACATGGGAGTCTCCCGGTGGACGATTCCACAACGAAATAGACCACATCATATTCAATCGACGGTTTTGCCTGACTGATGTCGCTGTTGTCCCAAAATTTCGAACGGGATCAGACCACCGTCTCCTTCGTGCAAAATTCTACTTCACAGAGCGGGGAGAAAGGGCTGCAAAGTTCAAAAAGAGAACTCCCAGAACGACCACCAACTGGGAACTCTTTGGTACTATTGCGGCAACATGGGAAGATGCCATTGTTGACAACATTGACGAGGAATACGATCGACTGGTTCAGCACCTCCATGAATGTGCGAGGAACGCCAAGAGAGAGATAGCCACAAAAAGTCGCCTATCTTCGAAAACTCTTGAGCTAATTCGCCAGCGTGGTTTGGCGCATGCCTCAGGCAACCGCAAGCTAACGTCCGAGCTTGCAAAGCAGTGCAGAGATGCGATCAAGGAAGACCTCAAAGAGAGAAGAGCAGAAGTACTGGTAGATGCGGCAGAAGCCGGGAAAAGTATTCGTAACGCCCGCCTGTCCTTCGCCAACTATAAGACCAAGATGACTGCCCTCCGACGTCCTGATGGATCCATCACATCCTCCAGAACGGCAATGGAGAAGATTATCCATGACTTCTACTCAAATCTCTTCGATAGCCATGTCCACTTGCCGACATACCAAATTCCACAGGATGGGTATGTCGTTCCCAACGTTCTCCCTTCCGAAATCCGACACGCCATTTCGTCAGTAAAGAAGCAAACAGCACCCGGCCCAGACAAGGTCAGACCTGAACACCTGAAGAACCTGCCGTCAGTACTCATCAATACACTGGCTCGGCTCTTCACTCGCTACCTGTCTGAATGCAAGGTTCCATCTCAATGGAAAACCAGCAGGACCGTACTACTGTTCAAGAAGGGAGACATCCATGACATTGGCAACTATCGCCCGATCTGCCTATTGTCTGTCATCTACAAGTTGTTCACTCGAGTCATCCTGAATAGGATTGGCAGAACACTAGATGAAGGACAACCATGTGAGCAAGCAGGGTTCCGCAAAGGATTCAGCACCATCGACCATATCCACACGATAACCAAACTCATTGAGGTTTCTCGGGAGTTCAAGATGCCGCTCTGCTTAACGTTCATTGATTTAAAGAAGGCCTTTGATTCTGTTGAGACAGAAGCGGTCATTGAAGCCCTAGCCAGTCAGGGCATTCAAGCCCAATACATCAGGATCCTCCGTGAGCTGTATTGCGGATTCACTACCAGGATCTCACCATTCTACAAAGAAGTGATCGTTGATGTCAAGAGAGGGGTGCGGCAGGGTGATACCATTTCACCAAAACTCTTCAGTGCCA